CTGCTCGGCTCTGCCTTTGTCGTCTGCGACAGAGCCTTTCGCCACTCGTGCAGATTCTCACTGTGTTGCAGGTTGGCACTGGCTGCAGTAATGGCCTTAGGGCTTTCCTACGCCGCCACCGTCGCCGGTGATAACCCCGCCAAACCCTCTTATGCTACAGTGGTCACAAACGCAGCTCCCCTTTTCACCTCGCAGATAGTGCGGTATTCCCGTAGATTTAACATGATTCTGTTGCAGGAAATGACGATTGCAACCTCATCAAAAAAATTGAGAAAAATGCGAGCAAACCAGCATTTTCTTTTCTAACGCTGAAATTTCAACTCGTGCAGGAAAATACAAAGTTACACTAGTTGGAAAGTTCCAATTAGGTTGACCTAAGATGGGGATCATCAGGAAGGTTTTTGAAGATTTCAAACTGGTTGGGGATTGACAGGTAGGTCATTTCGACGGAAGGCATGGTATGATACAACTGAGCACAGAAGATGATTACACGAGGATTTTCTCAAAGAAATTCATCACAATTGAGGGCAAACATATGAAATTGCTCAAGTGGACGCCCAATTTTGATCTCAGTCAAGAAACCTCAAATGCACCTATGTGATTCTCATTACCTGAACTCAAGCTTCATTTCTTTGACCTATCTTATATGCAATTGGGTCTATCCTTGAAAAATCTTTGCAGGTAGACTTACCTACAGTTCATATCTCAAGACCCTCTATTGCAAGGATTTTGATTGAACGAGATATTACACTACCAGATGTAGAAGAAGTCTAGTTTGGATCTGCTCACAATGGTTATTGGCAAAAAATCATTATGGAACAAAAACCATACTACTGCAAGCACTGCAAGATGTTTGGACCCTGGCAGGAGAAATGTTTCAGATTGCACCCATAGTTGAGAACCAATAGTCAAAAGCAGGAACACACTATTAGTGCACCTCATGTGCCTGAACACACTCCCAGCAAACTTGATGACAGCCAACCTGAGGAGAGAATCACCACAAGATAGGAGTTGGTGTCTGCTCCTGAGATTCCTTCTCCTGACCATACTACAACGGATAATGCTCGGACTGAAAATCAAGATAGTCCCGCAGCTCCTATTCAAGAAACATCAGGTGCAAAGGTAACATTTCACACTTCACATACACTGGAACCTATCGTGGTGGCAACAACTGTGTTTCCTCCTACTGCGGTGCTAACATCAAATCAGATCAAGGATCACATGAGCCCGTCTTCAGATGAAGAATGACAGGTTTACACTTCTCGGTAGAAGAAGAAGGTTGGGGGCACACACTTGAAAACTTAATGGATGATACTTTGGTTACTCCTGGCAATGACACAACTCTTCAAACACTCGGAAACTTAATGGATGATACTTTAGTTACTCATGACAATGGCACAACTCTTCAAAGTTTGTTATCTGGCTCCGCTCCTAAAACTAGAGGCAGAGACAAGAGTCTATCTGTATCCTTTTGTTAGGGTATTAGTGTACTTGTATCGTATGGTAAGGTGTTTTTTTTGGACTCTCTCATACAACATTTATGTATCATTTTCTATTTCAATAAAATCAGCCCTTGGGCTTTTCATAAAAAAAATATCCTTTCATCTAATTTCTTATAAACTATTTCTTTTATTTTTCAATTTCTGAGACATATACAGCAGGATACAAAGCTGATTCTACCCTCCTGCAAAAGACATTATCTCCCATCTCTTTCATGGAATAGAATTCATAATTAATTAAGCCTTTTTGTTATCACCTAGCAGTGCTCCACTTTAATGATTTTCAGAGCTATGTTATGGCTTATTAGAACTTTAGACCGCCTATTCTATGTAACTTTATAACCTTTAGCTAGTTTCGTCGGTGCAATCTAAACTCAAAATAATTGCAGCATTTATTTCATATCAATTATTCTACTGTCTTTGATAATCTTTTGAAAAGGCTCATTTTCTTGACTGTATCCAATCTTCAATTTTCTTTGATAGCCACCCTGTTGTTACAACTCCTTTCTAAAAAAATCACAACATTATGATAAAAAAAATAAAGAAATTACAAAGTACTGGTGTAATCACTATGCGAGTTCACTAAAAATATATCATTTTACTTATTTCATACCTGAACATTCATATTTATGGAATAAGCACCCCCATTAACTATGTAAAGTTATCTCACCGGAGCGTGCCGGAAGGAAAAACGGACAGGCAGCAATGGGACCGCCGCTCAGACAACATAGAGGCGAGTTGAACACCACCATGGCTCTGATAATGGCAGCCATAGGTCGAGGTAGCCTGGGTCGAGACCAAAAAATATTTTACAGATTTTGTCGAAAGCTAATCGTCAGAAAACGTCTTAAAGCTTGATGGCTTCCGCCGGAGCTCCTATTTAAAATCTATTCTAAATTTGATTCAGACCCAAATTCAGTCATAATCCACCACACCAAAAAAATGAAAATAAATAAATTTGTTTGGGAAGAATAACAATATTGTATTTTTCTTTTTGCTACAGCGCAGAAGAAGAGATGCTAAAAGACAGAATTGAACATAAGAATAACATTTTTAAACTCGATAAAAAACTAAATAAACTTGATAAGAAATTAAAAGGAAACTGGTAAGAAATTAGAGTACAACTATATTTTATATTCTATCTTTTAATTTCTCACAAGAAGTCATTCAAATTTTTCTTTACACATGTACATTTAAACAAATAATATCGCATTTTAACGTTAGGAAGGCCACTTACAATTATTCTTGAGGCCAAATTGCTTATCTTTACAGCAAATTGCCCAGGGATCTGCCTATTAGCAAATTAAAGGTTGCAAGCAGCCATACAGAAATTAGCAGCAAGATTCAGTTGTTTTATTTCCACTGCAAAAATGATATAGAAAATTTTAGGAGAAAAGTATCAAAATAGTCCCTGAATCTTCACAGGGGTCATCTTAACCTCAGAATCCATTGAAGTACTAATTTGGTGTCCAAACTCTTTTGATATGAAGACTATTTCAACCTCAATTTAAAAAGATTGAAGACTACATTGACATTTTTTAATAAAATGACCTCATGACACTTCACCAAAATCGTAGCGTGAATTAGAACTTGCTTAAAAAACAAATCAAGTAGCATTCAAGCGACCAACCCAAATTAACCAACCTTAGCATATTTAGAAAGAGAACAAAAATATTACTTTTGCAACCCAACAGAATCCAAGGTTGATTCTGCCACATCTACGGCAGAGGGCAAACTATGTCGTTCAAAGTTCGTTATTTCCAGAATATAATTTAAATGGTGCTTATACATGAAAAAAAGAAATTCCCACTCAATTTCATGATTCCTGATCTTTATATAAGGCGACACCCACGTTTAATTGCTTACAGTTAATCATAGATCAAAATAGTAATGTGTTGATGAATTTGCATGGAATCTTTATATGTATAACCACCAGAATGCCATATATACTTCTGACACAATACATTATTGATCTGCAAGCAAAATTATCATAATATATTTTACAATACTATCAATTATCTTTTTATTTATGTCACCATCTTTCCTCTACATGATAGCTTCTGTGGTCATGGTTAAATTTCCTTGTGATCTGCACCAGTGTAAAGCATTTTTCTTCCATCATATGCTGATTGTCCCATTATTATTGTTTTTCATAACATTTTATTTCAATTTTAACCGTGCTCTGAAAAAAGAAATCCTCAAAAGACCAATAAATAAATAGTTTACTTTCTTTATAGCAATGATAAAGAATCAAAATAGTTTCCTGACTAATTTTGAAAGGCAATTTAGTCCCATGTTATACAGAAAAGATCCGATCTAGTCTCCAAACTTTTAAAAAGTGCTAAAATAGTCTTGACATCCAAAGTAACAGAAATTGAAGTTAAAAGGTGTTAAAAATAATACTTTTTTCAACAAACATATTTTCTTTTTGAATTTCATCTTATATCTAACTTCCTATTTATCTTATAGTTTCACGTACAACAGCTAACATCAAAATATCTTCCTTTCGTTGAATTATTTTGCTACAAGTCTCCCCTTGTAATTTTATATTTCTTTTGTGCTTCTCCTGAATCATAGAAATTTGATTGTTCTATAATAATTTCTATTCCTTCACAATAATACTTGATTTAATTAACGATCCTCTTCCATCCTTTGGTAATTTAAGTTAATGTCCAAGTATTATTTTTATATCCCGCTTGACAGAAATTTAATTTACATTGCTACTTTAATCACTATGAATAACAACTACCAATTATCAAAAAATAATGCATGATGAAGAAGAATATCCATGATTAAGGTTCAATCTCTTTCAGATTACCTCGATTGCATCACTGAATGAATGCTAGATTTCGATCATGTCTCAATATTCTCAGAAGTTGCTGTCTACTTTACAACACATCACCTTCAAAAATCTCCTCAAACGCAATTTGCTTATACATATGATTACGTGCTTCGATAACTAAACATTATAGATGAGATGTTTATTGAGTATAATATTCTTACACTAATACTATATAGCTAAAATTACTAATTTTATGACCAATAAAATAAAATTTTATGAATTGAGGGTCTAGCTTATTGATCAGATGGAATTTACATGTGTATAAGAAAAACAATAAAAACTTTTAACAAAATAGGTATACCACCTTGATATTCCAAGCTTTTTCAAGTTGTCAATTACATAAAGGAATTGATGGTCCTCTAATAGTCAAATATGCTACGATGCTCATGGCATTTGACAAAAATATCATGTGCAATTTTTTGTATAATTGAATGATTCCAGCTTGTTCATTATAAGTCATACCTACGAGCCCATCAAACTCATTGTTTTGTGTTTCTCCTAAAATTTACCACTTCATCTATATGACAGTTAAAGACAATAAAGTTACTTTCCATGTTGACACCAGATTTGTTCATGAATCACACTCAAAGAATAGAGCATAAGGGTGAAGAGAGAGAGAGAGAGAGAGAGTGAGAGAGAGATCCTGAAATGGGTAGTAGTTATTTAGTTTCAACCGCCATTATTACATTTAATGCCCCTTTATTTATAGAGGGTCTGGATTATTGTGAAATGACACTTATACCCTTTATCTTTTTGACTCCAACCCTATATAATTACGATTTATACAACTCATTTTTTGGCCATATCCTGATTAAGGCAATATTTGAGATAAATGCCTAACAACACTCAACTTTTCATCGATCAACTCCTGGCTAGTTAACCTTTGATTGGTCAGCCTCAGGTCAGTCGGCTGGTCTTTGATCGGTCAGCCTCTGGTCAGTCAGTTTGCCTCTAATCGGTAAACCTCAGGTCATTTGTGTGCGATTGTCCTGCTTCGGATGTCCTTGCACTCTTTTCATGAAGCCAATCTATAGAAATGTGTCTTGCTCTGAATCGTCAAATCTATGGAAAATTCGGCAAACACATTTTTGTTGTACATATTTTAGTTTCCCTATTCTCTCATATCTTAAAAGGCTTTGTTGCTATAAGAACAAGAGAATTAAATGAAATAATTAATTGATTATCATTATTAAATGACCCTAGTGATCAGTACTCCCTCGAGTTCTGAACCACAAATTGTTATATATAGTGCAATAAAATGTCTTCTAGGTCTGCCTGCTTTGCGCTCTCCTTCCCTTCGCCAGTTGTCATTCTATTGTATGCAAGCTCGCGATGGACAAGCTTTTAAAGTCTCAAACTAATATCCCGAACAAGATCAAGATTCATGGGGTGTTCGTTAAAGAGTAAGACAAGAAGTGCCACAAAGATAAACGGAGAAAGGTCACGGTCAAAAGAAGAATGGAAACCCCTTCGGATCAAGTGGGCTTCTTCAAAATAGCCCCAAACATATTCAGTCGGTTGCCACAACCCATGGTCTGATTGAGGACCAGAGCAACCAGAAAATTGTTTGGGCCTCCTAGTTTCAACAAGATGCCCACTCGGAGGAGCCTACAGTATCAAAAATTATCGGAGTCATAAAAACTTGGCATCCCCAACTTAATTTGGTGATTTTTTCGGCTTCGTTTAAAATTCTATCGTTTTGGGTTTTTTTTTTATGATCTTAGGAGATTGACTCCAATCATATGTATGCCAGCAAAGGGTGGAGAGCAAGCGTCGGAAGGAGTTAATCACCCCTCCACTTAGGAAAAGGGCGTCAACCGCCCTAAAAATCCTCTGCTGTCTCAGGAGCTCGTGAGGATATCGCTAAAGAGGTTTACGCAAAACCATGAGTAGCTGGCTTGCTACCTGGATAAGATTGAGTGCTTTCACGCACGCAACTAGTATACATTAGGGTGCAGAGACGCACGATTTGTTGGCCTGTGTGGTGAAGTTAGAGTAAGAAGTCGCTGCATCGAAGCAAATGGTGGTTGTCCCCCACCACGAGCCCACAGATCTGCGGGAATAGTCCCATGTCTCTCTGACTCAGTCAGTAGGCTAGGTCAGTTTATGTTTGAGGTCGAGCTCTTGCTTCAAAGGCTGCTTCGGTTGGGTCACCTCTTGGCTAAGGGTACTTCAAACCCTTGTGTGGTTTACTTCTTTAACCTTAGCTGAGCTCATGTAAGGTTATTGTAATAATTTTACCTTTTTATCTAAATAAAAAATTATTTTTGATTTTTGATTTCCATACTATTATATTTATTCATTGGCTTGTCTTTTGAGTCCTTCGCGATCGTTCTTGATTTTGCCCTTGCAAAGGTTGGGGTTTTCCCTGTCCCTATAAAAAAAGCTTCGACGACAATTGATATACTTTTTTTTGCCATTTTCCCCCGTAATTTCTATTTTTTTCAGGTGATACATGGCTTTCATGCACTATTCTCCAATGGAGTTCGCCGTAGTTGATCTCTCTGACTCATCCAAGATGACAAAGGATGAGGTCAATCAATAGACCTGCATCATTAACCCTACTGTCCATCTTTGGGTTATCGGAAAAGAGGAGAGAACGAATACTCTCAATGAAAATGAGTTGGTAATCTTCATGGATTAGGTCCGACTCTGTTGTGCAAGGAGTTGCATTCAATCTTTGATTTCCACGGATTCTTTTGAGCAAAGGGGATGCCAAATTTGATTGTCGCGATAATGGCTTTCATGATATTCATGTGTAGTTCTTGACCACGAGCCAGTTTCATTTCTGAGGGCTTGAGAACATGGTGAAGGATTGAAAGCTCAAGTTCTGTTTTGCTTCTATGAAGGATGGGCTAGCCGATCGAGGCAACGCCGATCCACATTCCTCCTTCGAAGACTAAGCCAAAGATTTCGCTTGAGGTGCAACTGAAGGCTCATAAAGTCGAGGGGAAGATACTCGACGTGCAGCAATAACTCGATGCCTCAATTCCCAACAAGGTTTTGGCTCTTGGCACCCATGGCGAGATGATTAAGGCCGATTGGGAGGCTTTGGATGCCCTCCAGGCCAAGTGGGACACGAGTAGAGCTGCTGACGGTGCATGGGAGAAGTCGGACGAGAATTTGTCTGGTAATAATTTCGTCCATTTGATTTCTAGTACTACTATCGTCATCTCAAAGGTTGGGACTGATGAGTTGATCCTCATTGAGAAGCCGACGTATCGGAGAAGGATAATGTGCGTGCCTATTCCCTTTACAAATTCCTAGGGTGGTGGCAAGCCAACTGGTAGTGCTGAGTCCAACGAATGTGAGCCTAGCGTGAAAAGGGATGGTCAGGAGGCCCCTCAGAAGTGATGTCGCTCTACATCCGCATAATTCCCGAGTAGGGATTCACCCTCTTGGAGATGGGGAGTTTCTTTACGATTCGACCATCCCTTGTGGATGGGGATGAACAGTTGACGGAGCTAGTGGTGAAATCGGTCGACCTAGTGGACTCACACCTAGACTAGAGCGTCAACAT